GTTGCAAAATCCACTTGAACATGACGCTGCTTTTTTCGAAGTTTCTCAAGAACCATTTGAGCCACAGAATTCGTTTTGGCATCGTTGGATAGAGAGTTGAAAAATCGATTCACTCGCAACAACGTGAGTGAGGAAATTCGAATAGTTTTAGCCCAGAAAGCGAAATTTGAATATTAGACACTTAGGTGCAAGATTATGCCAAAATTCTATGTTTTCCGTCCCGTTTTTGCTCATTTCTCGGAAGCAAAATGAGCAAGAACGCTCAATTGTACATCCTTCTAGACAGAAATAAATGGCCTTTTTAGAAAGCGAACCATCGATAAGGAAATGTTGGCAGTTTTCTCAAAAAATGATTAAATTCAACAAGTTTTAGATTTGCGTGGTTTTTTTTTACCACTATGACCCCCATGACCCCCCCTGGATCCGCCCTTGCCTGTTGCAGTGTTTTATCAGTATCTAATGTCTGTTTGTTTTCTTTATTCCCAAAAAGATTGCGCTTTGGCCAAGGTACATTGTGTGAATTAACGTTTTGTAGCGTGTGTCTAACTAAGCATGCCCAGTAGTAGAGTTGACAACCATTTACTTGCTATCGAGTATTAATAAGTCGGAAACTTTCCAAGAAAAAAATTAATTTGCGACTACAAGGTGCTTTGCAACAAATTCTGATTATCACGCGAACAAAGAAAATTATTTTTTTAAATGACAATCAAAAACATTAATAGAAATTATACAGGGTGATTTTTTTTCGATGACTAGGAATCTTGGAAACTACAGCAGATACGAAAGAGGTTAAATGGACAAAGAATGGCAGTTTTGCTCTATTCAGAACCAATTTTGTTTTTTAGAAATTTGACAGGTTTCAAGAAATATTTGATACAAACTAATTTATGGCAGATTTTTAAATAACTCCTAGTTTCGTCAGTATAAATCTCACAGGAAATCATTCAATAAAAAAGTTGTAGGAGTGTGCGCTCGCAATAAAATGGCATAAGACTTTTTGCAATTTAACTGTCATTTTTGACATATGATGTAAACTTGTGTTCCATATTGGCAACCATATTTGATTATAGCTCTATTAAATAGAGCATTTTATATCATATCGTTAGATTTTTTCGAAAATCTCGTCTGCGATTGATTTTTACTTTTCCAATGTAGTTGATCGAAGTTAGCCTTGGAAAATAGTACAACGCATACATCATGTTTCCATAGCAACAAATAATAAATGCATCATCAAACAGAGTTACCATTAAAAAAACACGTAAGTTTATGTCAAAAATGACAGTTAATTTGGAAAAATGTCTATTCAAAAATCTGTCATAACTTAGTTTCACTAACATCACTTGACAGCTGTCAAATTTTGAAAAAATCGAATTAGATTCGCACAGAGCATTCAAAACTGCAGTGCGTTGTCCATTTAAGATCGAAAAAAACTCACCCTGTACAAAGGGAAACTTCCATTGCAGCCAAATGCAAGTAAACGGTTGCTCAATAAAAAGGGATGAGAAAGTGAGACAGTGGCGTCCGTTTCAGGGTGACAACTTCCGACGGCCCGACGGCTTTGCTACCACTCGCAGTGTGAAGAAGGTTTATCTCTGAGAAAACAGTGAGGAGGGTGCGGGAGGCAAGCGCACCCAAGGCCATCGGCAAGGTCACAGCGCGCTGCCCACCAGTGGCGGCTCGTCAAGCAGCCCCTCCCCGCCCTCCTCGACGCCCAGCCCCACTCCTCCTCACACTGCCTCTTTCATTTACCGCGCTTAGCCCCAGCAGCGCTACGCCGGCCCGTTCTGGACCTATTGGAGATTGTACTGAGTCGGAGTTGCGCCGACTACACAACGCTCCAAGCGGAGGTAATGTTGCTGTCAGAGGGTGGCGTTTTATTGGCAAGTAGCAACGACAATTGCCCAAGTTTTAACTATCGTCCGGGTTTTTGAAGGGAAAAGATGCGGAAATCACAAAAAAATAATTCTCTACTTGGTCGAGCAATGAAACGTTCGGCGTGCTTCGGGCAACGTGAATTTGTGTCACTTTACTCCAAAGTAGCTTTCTTTCGTGTATCTCTCGTCTTCCAAATAATTCTTCTGTTGTGTTTAAGAGCATTAATTAGTCGTTGACACAAATGAGAACCGAGCGCAATACAGGTACTTTGTTCCAAATGGTAATGTTTTGTTTTTTCAACATTCAAAAGAGTGCTACTTTGTTATTCTGTCCCTGCAAACTGGCGATATCGGGGATCTCACGTAATCCCCAATAGTTGCTATTCGGAACAAAGCCTGATATTGACCGACAGCCGGATGATGGCAACAGTACTTTCCCCGAAGATGTAGAAGTAAAAATTGAAGGTGACTTTCCACCAAAAAAATGGTAGTCATATAGAATTAGAATAATTTTTAAATTTCAAAATTAGAACTACTTAGAAATTAGACTTGTAATGATTATTATCGCCGAATGGTTTGGCACAGTTCCATCAGTTTTTCGAGACTCACTGAATGGATCTGGGCTAAACTGGTCGGCAATTCCTAAGAAACCATAGAATATTGAGGCTCGTACTAGACGCACCTCAAACGACGTAATCTCAAATGATTAATAAGTGCTTCTTATTGATGTGTTAGATAAGGATACCATGTAAAATAGATTGTTATTATTTTAGCAACAATGTGATTAGACTTGTGTCAAGTTCTTTCCTTTACTTGGTTGAAGAGATGCCTAATCAGTTGATGATTTCAATGTTTGCCCGAAAACGTCCAGATCGTACTAAAAAACTTTCCTATTCTCACGCATCTCAAGGAGTTTTCCTGCGTAACTGCGTCTTAGCTTACGGAAGAAGCAAATGAGTTATATGGAGTTTTAATGAAGTTGCAACCCCCTTTGTAAACAGGTTGATGGAAATTGCATCTCAATTATTTATAGAAGGTTTTCAATAGCTGCTGAGAGCTGCAGCATAGCATGCACAGCCGATTATCATTTAATGAATAAAGTCTACTTAAATTGGGGCCTTATACAGCAATTTTTGGTTATTTTCTAGTGTAGTTGCTCAGTGACTTAGCAAAACGAAGTTACCCACGTTGTGGATTAAGCCTTGACGAACAATTTTTCTCAAGTGGTCTTTAAAAACCTGTGAGTAACTAAACTAGTAAATATCCAGTGAGTAAATATCCACTTGTGCGTTAAGTTTCCCAAACAATATGAAAGTGGCTGAAATTTAAACTTGATTGGAAACATCAATTATTACTATTTTTATACAAACTTCTTGTTGGGTATTTCGCCTCAAAAATTTTTGTTAGGTAAATTTTCAATTAATTTCTTTACTAATTGGAATTTTTGATTACTTTTTGATAAATAATTCGTTCTTATTGCGAAATAGGAGCACTATTTATCAATCTGTAATTGAAGACGTGAGGAAATTCCGTCTTTTTTAAAGATAAAAATTTTTGAGGCGACAAAAACCACGACCCAACAAAAAGTTTGTAAAAAAATGAATCCGCCTCAACAATATAGAACTTATCTTCATCAATTATTACCTTATGAGGCGTAGCTTTCAGTATACCCGAAACCTGATAAAAAAAGAAATTGAACTAGCTTTTACCAGTCCTGTGCATCAAGGGGGTTTGGGACTTTTAAAACACTATTGTGTACATTTAGTTGTTCAGGTTGTTTGCTTAGTTTATAGTTTCGTTAGTCTTAAACATTTTGCTACTAGTACTGTACATAAGACTGAGGAAGAATACTCCATTGAAGTCCACTTTTAGCAACTAATTAAACTGCTTTGGTTCGAGCGTAATATTGTGCAGGTGTGTTCACATGCTGCAAAGCTCTAATTGGTTTTTTTTAAACGAAATGTTGAAAACTGTAAGTTTCACATCTGATCAATTTCCATAAATGATAAGTTTCAAATAGTTGCCACCATTTTTTCAATCGAATGATCAATACAAACCATGCGCCATACGAACTCCACGCATTCGGCCAAATATGGCTGCTGTTGCTTACACCAAAATGTCAAAAAAAACACCAATTTCAAATCGGGATTCTGACTTCAGAAGAACTCCTCCAGTGACGAAAATTACGACAAACACGAGTTTAGGAGTTTCAGTTCATGGATTTCAATGCTTTGAATGCAAAAATTTCCTGGTTTTTTGGCGAGTTTTGCACGGAGCTTGACGGTCGGTAACACGCACTCACAGACAATTTTTATCCGACGATCACCCCTGTGGGGGGATGTTCTGTGACTGGAAACCCGTAAATTTGACAACGTTGCACTTGGACTGAAAATAGTATCAAATTAAAGAAAAACTAGAATATTATTTTTTTGGTATAAAAAATACATATTTCTTATATGCATGGTGGCAATATTTTTTTTGGAGCTGGGCAAAATTTGAACAGGCATTTGCACAAGCGTGTACAAGCACGAATCTAAACCGAACGAAACTTGCAATAAGTTTCTCACTTCCTACCTGCTGTAATTTGTTGCTTTTGTGAAAAAACCGGTTTAAAACACCGCGGTAGAAAGCGACAAACTCAATGGAAAAAACCATGGCTTGCTTTGCTATTTGATAGGAAAATCAGCACCCAAAACGTCAATTAATTGGTGTTAAGCATCTCATGATTGGGCCTTTTATATTAGAGACCGATTTTTTATTTTTGCTCACTCTACTTAGCCATATAGATGCTTCCATACCTACTTAAAACATACGTATAAATAATATCCTTATATATCTTGTAACTCGTGATCGAGAAGGCTTTTTATTAATGCACATTGTTATTTTGTTTATAAAAGATCTCTAAAATCAGTCAAACCAAATATGTATTAGTTTTGTATCTTTAAGCCAGCAGGAATACAGGTGGGGGTGTGCGGAAAATCCCCAGTAAACACTCAATAATGCAAGTACTGAGAAGCAAGCGTTTAAGCAAGTATAGAGTTGAAGATGTGTTAATTTTAGGTAAACTCGGGACCGGTTTCGAGCTTATTGGCGCTCATCAGCTGCGTTTAGCCTGAAATTAACACTGCATTTTACTATGTGTAAAAGTAGTACACCTTCAAATCTCTATTTGCTCACATCGAAAACCTTTTATTGATCTTCACTGAGCAGAAATATTCTATAAAGGAGCTGCCACCGATTTTGCTGCTGGACAAAATAATGAACGTAACATCAAAGCTTTCTTCTTAAGTATGGGCTACGTGATTTTTCATCTAGTTGAGATATTTTTGTAAAAAGTAGAGAGTTTTTTGCATGAAACGAATTGTAAATAACTCGTGATCGAAGAATTTGATAAAACGTGTAAAAAAGTTAATTTTCTATTTTTTTTTGTTGTTCCTCAAACTCACTCCATAGGTTAATGGAAAATGATTATATAAAACTGTACAAAATATTGTAGATAATATTTTTTTTAGTTTTGTAGTCTTTATTATCTAGTAAACTAGTCAAGTCGAGATATTTTTCAAGTAATCATTGATCAGATGGGCAGTATTTTTAGTGTATATACTTTCCTGACTGTGTTTCAATTCCAAATCAAATTCATTCCTGGGTTTCAGTCATTTATTGTCTCTATTTATCAATCAAAATACGTTT